TTTGATGTAGAGTCAATCCAGCCCAGCAGCGGCACCACCTTACACATTGAAGCTGCAGAATGCATCCCAAACATGGCTACACTGTTTTTTAGGCTATCTAGAAAAACTCGCAACTTACCTGGAACTTCACTCAGAAGAACAATGTCATCCACGTATTCCAAATCAAACAGTTTACTGCCTGAGCACAGATCAATGCTGCTATTCTCATACGAGGATAAGGCTATCCAAAGAATTAATTCAATAATTAGCTCACTTACATCACACTCCCGTGAACCGGTACTTCCAATCAAATGATAAAGATTGCCACTACTACCAATAGACACAGTCTGTTCCATTTCCCTACATTTCGCAATCCACCACTGCTCACGGTCATTTCACAAACTCCGGTAGTTGGCGCTTCAGGGATTTGCGCACTTCGTCGAGTGTAGCAGCCGGAGGGACGGATCTGCGAGCATCCAACAGAGCAACTGACATTGGAAGTGACATACAAGGCTTCCTTGAGCTGCAGTCAGCGTTCATCTGGGTCCCGGACATCTAGCTGTAGACAGCTTTGTCTGAAAACCATATCGGCGGTTATCGTCCAGAAATAACTGCGCAAGATAGGTGCCCTTGTTGTGGGGGTGCGACCACGGACGAGACGTAAACAAAAGTCAGCACGTACCAAGGCGTGATCTGAGTCCACAGATGTAAACCAAAATGAGTGACAATCTTCGATTGATCCACGCCGCCGGTGACTAGTGATAACATAGTCAATCTGAGTCAAACGTTCAGAAGATGTAGGAGGACGCCATGTCAGTCCATTCCGCTTCTAATGATAGAAGTTCGTACTCGCCAGAAATAACCTGTGGTCAGAACACAGCTGAATGAGATGAGCGCCGTTATCAGTGCGATCGGCCGGGATAGGAAACCGACCTCCAATGTGCCTTTCGGAGTCCCACAAACGGCCAACTCGCGTGTCGAAATCAACAGCAATGACCACCACGTCCGTTGAATGTACACGTCGAAGCAGTTGAGACAAATCGTGGTAGAATTCGTCCTTGGTCTCAAAAGAACTGCTGTCAGCGGGCGCACACACAAACACGACGAACAGGCATCGACGCTTCAGTCCATCGCTGTTGACACACACAGAACCGTCCAACCGAACTGCACACAATCGACTGCTGATTGGAATCCAGTCTAGCAATGCATGCTCAGCTCTCACACTCAAAGCAATTCTAACCCCGGCCTAACCACGAGCGCTATATATCGAGTCACTCGACACGTGAAGAGTGAAGCGACAGACTAAGGCTGTATCTGGAGTGTGAAGCGTGATGACAGAAGTGGGGTCTTGTATGCGTGTTTCAGAGACAAAGCATGCATCCATTTTAAAAGTTTCACGAGTTCTAGCGAAGGCAGCCTGTTGCCCTATCTGACAGCGTGGGCGTTGAACGCAACTAAATGAAGCGAACATGTAGGCTTCAGAAGTGTGTTTGATATATGTCCGACTCCTGAACTATTGTTTTCTTCAGAGCCGCAATTACCCGTCGCGTTTTGTAGGGATCCTTACTTAAAAGAGGGGAAATTGGTAAGGCCCTTTACAGAAAGGATGCTAAAGGTTTCTGGGCAAATAATACTTCGCGGCTGCCCACATCACAAAAAGCGCTTCTCTTTAGGAACCCTAACCGGAGCCAGTCACTCAAAAGCCTGACCCACAAGGCAGTGGGGCGTTAACCCAGCAAAGAAACGTGACCGAAAAACCCGTGAAAAAACTTCTGGTCTGTCACGAGAGATCCGATTGTTGCACGTACTTTGTTTTGTCTTCACTAGTGTTTTTCTATCGGTCAACTTTTCGGAATGAGTCCTTAGTCCCATGCACCTAGTGGACCAAGTGGAACGTGGACGGGGCAGCATCCTTTGGGATGGGGGCTGCCCAGCTTGGCTGGGCTATAGCTGCCAGATGAAGTGCGATGACTTCTCCCACCGTCGAGAGAAACCCCAAGTACTGCACTTCTACATCCACCTGGTGGAGGTTTATAGACTGGTAAACTGCTTCTTTCCGTGCTTATTCGTTGGACTTTTCTCTCCAGAGGCAAAGTGGTTAGAACCAGATGTGGTCCAGAAGCTGGTTCAGAGACTGGACTTCGTCTGACCTCTACCCATTGACTTGTCAGGCACGACTGTTTCTTCGACTTGAGGAATCCATCCTGCATAGCTGTTTGGGTCACGGAAGCACGCAAAACATCACGTCACGTCACGTCACGTCACGGTGCAGTCGGAGTGCAGTCTCATTGTGACAGATCACTCCACTGGCAACTTCATGTACAGGGGGATTGAAAAAGTAACTCACAAGTAGTGTCGATTGTGATGCTTTTGAAAATTTTCTCAGCATAAAGTTCGAGCTTCGTGAGTTAAATAGGGTATATGAAGCCATCGAGTAAAGATCTTAATTCACTCAAATTCTTCTCTCATTTGAGTTGATTCTTGACTGCGCTATGGAGACCTGAATGTATGACCATGACTGTAAGGGCGAAAGGCTCTGAGCAAAGTGAGCTGAAAATTAGCAAGGTATGGGAATATATTTAAACTGATCAACAGGACCAGATAAATTATCCTCGGTTACACGAACATTTTGCTAGAAGCCGTTCATTCGACCGATGTATTTCTCACGGTTTTGCCTATATCATGAGTTTAAGAGAAATCCTCTTATTATTTGGAGATTTCACGATGTATGTGGTTTAAAAGTGCTTTTAACGATGATTGCCAAACTTAGTGAAAAAAATGAAATTCCAGTTCATACGAATGTGAGCGCCTGCTTCAAGGTTATTTGAGCGCGCCTTGTTAATAGCTTATATTGTTATGGCGATAGCGATGACAAGATCCACTAACACTGAATTTTCTCGGGACTTCCATAATGGGGATCAAAGTAGAATTGCCGAGTCCTATAATTCTGAACCTTTTCTGCTGTATCTTACTCAGTGTTTTAACGCAAATAGAGGCAACTATTATCGGATGTATCGCAGAAAAATTACCCCAAGTATACATTTCAGAGGTAGAAGACCTAGCAAATCGAATGAAAAGGACGATTTTATATCCATGTCGATCACAAAACTGTCGGAAATCCCTGTGTTTAATCTAGCGCGGGAGCATCCCCGGGTCCCCTAACTCCGTGTCGGACATAAAGTAGCCTCAATTTTCAATGCGGCTAGTATCACGAAGGCTGCGCTGCAAGACCAACAAATGAGGATACGCAGTGATTTCATCAGGGGATTCAAATCACGAGGCCCGTCATTTTGGGGACGGGTTTGTTTCTCGTATGAGTGTTTGGCACATGATGATCCGCAGAAGGCTCAGAAAAATGTCATCTGGTGTAGGAATTTCCCTGGAAAAGGTATCCCTCCGAAAACCAATATACCAAACCAATCAACATTATTCATTTGGATAGCAATAAAACATGTTTATCTTTGCTGGTGAACTTCAATTAGAGACACGTCGAATGTTGGGGAAATCTTCAACTTTGTGACTAAAACGTCCCCGAATTCAACGAAAAAAGTCATCCGGGTAAATAATCGTTATTCGGGGTAACGCTTCATGTTTTGTTTCACGAGAGGTTTGTATATAAAGTCATGCAGAACGATTTGTCTGTTAATTATTCACTGTAAGATTTGTAAATGTATGCACAACTTCAAGGTCTAGTTCATACAATTATTCCTCTAATAGCGCAGATCTAAACATAATCGTAAAACTTTCTGTCTTAAAGAGAGTAATTAAAGAGCTACCTTTGCAATGACCATTTGAACCAAAAGTGAAAAATGTGATGGTGCATAAGATAAAGAGTTATTTCATCGCGAACATGGTGGACTTTACGCCAGCAAGACTGAAAAATCCTGAAGAATACAGGCGGACCAAACGTTTAATATCGTGCATGAACATTGTGTTCTGAATAATGCTTGAGTTAATTCAGTGTAAAAAAATCTTGTTCCATTTTCCCTCCAGGGCCCATATCCCACCATAGCTGCGGCCCACGTCTAGTGGCAAGAATACGTTCTCGTCTGCATTTTGAGCATATGCATTCACACATTTAGATAGACCAAAAGGGCTATTGTCCCAAAACCTCACCACTACTTTCTAGTTATGGTATCAATGGAATTATGTAGTTCCGCATTAATACTGTCGTGTACAAAAAAGTGCTTATCGTAAACCCGTATGCATTAGTTTCGACAATACCTGTAGGTGTCCTTACCTTTACCTTTAGAAATTATTCCAGTATTAAGTCATGTTACTTATGTATGTATTTTATTACATCGTGGTAAATTTGATTGCGCCACACTGACTTCGGAAGTTTCGATATGTTGAGCTCATCTTTGGAGGTGTCGGTTGGTTCACAAATAAGGTGGATCCGTGGTTTCCAAAGGCTATTCGACAAAGGACGCATATTAGAGGTCAATCAACATTGCATTTTTCCATTGCAAAATTACGCGCCCACTTTACCAGCAGTCTCAATGGCATGGTATCAATGAGTCTTGAAGGTAAACTGCCTATCCCTACCTCTATCGACTCTTTTCACCTTTTGATATTTTACCCGTTTATGACTGATTGGAGATAATAACTCAGAAAAACGACCATATTAGAACAGGCCAGTGAGCTATTCGCGTGGTTTCTTTTTTTAGTTTTCTAATTGCGACCATAGGCAACAAAATCCAAAGGTATCCGTTTATACATTTTCAGCATCCATATACATCCTGGGAACTATCACTGCCTGCAAGACTTAAGGTCTTCATCATCCTATAGTATTTTGCTTTGGCTGGAATTGCGCACGGGGCGGATATCGATAACATTCTCTTCCGAATCAACCTGTACGAGTTTCCAGTCCACGTCCCAGGGTTATAACTGTTACTTCTTCCCTGACAATGCGATGGGCCATTCTACTGAAATCACACTTGTGTATGGAATGAAAAACAGGGCCCATATAACGATCCGACTCAAATATCGTAACCTAGATTTCTTCATCGTCTCTGGCATACCTGATTTTTTGGGTGTTTTGGAGCTCAAACAAGCCTCTTTCGGAGTGGTCTGTTGATCGGGGGAAACACGTGTAGGGACAGTCCCGACAGATGAGACAATTTGACTGGAGGATGGTAATGTGGATGTAATACCTTCACAATGGGGGGTGCCTGACAGATCGGTTGGATCAGACTGTTGTTGCTGCTGTTGCTGTTGTCCGCGCGCTTCCATCAAAAGCTGCTCTGCATACATTCGTTGGGCCACAGTTGTTTCCAGTTGTCGTCGACTCTCGGCGACCCGAACACCCAGTTGTCGAGCCTCACTGGTATACTGATCCAGACAACCCTGACTAAGGTGACGTAAGCCTAACAAAAAACCATATCAGAAAATTATGCAGAACAGCTATTCAAGTACCAAAAAACTAAGTGTTTCGAAAAGCACATCGAATATCCAAGAAATGGTTGATAATACCAACGCGATGTGCGTCCAATGTAGGTACTGAATCACCAGATAGCCAACATTCGATGCAGAACACCATGAAAAAAACAACGGCGTAGCCGTTCGATCCACATATCACAACACATTCACGTAGTGAATTGCTTGTTGTGGTGGGTTAAAAAACCTAAATATAGCAGCGTATTATTTAGTTAACTATTTATTTCCAATAGATGCTTTATCCAGTTGTGTGATTTACTTTTCCGACGGAGCTTCGATGAGAAATATTTGTCAACATCGCTACACATTATCATAATGTAAGCGAATGCATCAACAAAAATTGAAACAGAGTCCATCAGGATGTCTGCATTCACCTGTGATCTGAACACCGTGATGAATCAAGTTTATTATTTGCATCTTCGTTGTTTTCATAAAAGTAGCAACCGAAGCCGAGTTTTTGGTTGTCTAGAATGAACTGAACATTTGAATCAGGAAGAGGTAAACTCCATTCTGGTGAACAAAAAGGCACGAACAACTTTAATTACAAAACTCACAATGGCAAACAGCAAACAGCAACAAAAAAATGCCATGTTAAGAGATGGTTTAGGAGCTAAGACAACAAATGTTGTTCAAGTTCAGCGTCGATATTTGCCGGCTTACATAATAATCCAGCGAGGTAAGGGACAACGAAGGACCGGTAGGCAGCTGTGCGTGAATCATTTTATAATTATTGCGGGTGGAAGAGGAGGAAGCACACACGTTGAGGTCCATGTGGAGTGGATGAAGTGAGTCATTCAGAATTCTCTCGCAAACTCTTTTGCACATTTTATGGTAATGGGATATAATGGAGTCTGTGAGATCTTTACGAGGAATACCGCTTGCATAGGATAAGTGCTTGAGTGATCTTTTCATTATGGTGAAATTTTCAGCATGTAGGACAGGGAAGAAGACGGGAGAAGAATACAACCAGTGAGGTAACATGCATGCAAGGACAAAATTTTGAATGATGTAAAGAGGTACAGACATTTTCGATATGAGTAGTATGGCATTGTATCTGGATGACAGGACAAAATTTCCCCGACGAATTAACTGTGGAAGAATCAGTGTGTGATTCTAAAAATGGACTCCCCTGTCCATGCACGCTTCATTCGATTCAAATGAGATTACAGAGGTACAGACATCGTTTTCAGACGCTAAACGTAGTAGGTTAGTCTTCTCACTTTTGTGAAAATGCAGGAAACATGTTCAGTCCAGCAAGTATTATGGGTGATCGTAATCTCAAGGTATTTAACTGATAGTTGGCGACGAACGGAGATGTGCCCTATGTAAACGTCTGGACAGGATTCCAGAAAAGATAACATCTGAGCATTTACAGGGATTTAAGCTTAGGTTATGGCCTTTGGACCAGTGGTCAATATCTAAGAGACTAGATTGGAGCTCAGGTGTAGATGATGCATCAGGATGGGATAACCCAACCGCACCATCATCTGCATACTTTTTAATGAACGAATGGTCACTGACAGGCATGGAAGACGTGTAGGCGGAGAACAGAAAACGGGAGAGGATTGCGCCCTAAAGCACGCCTTGGTTTGGAATAGAGATTGAAGAGGTTCTGCCCCCGTATCTTGTAAACTGTTCCCGATTAGAGAAATAATCAGATAGAAATCCAATGAGTGAGGGTTGTATTCCGTTATTTGAGAGTATCCCCAGAAGCTTTCATCTTTCAACACTGTTAAATGCATCACTTTAATCCAGGAAGCAGGTACGCACAGATTTTGATTTCTTGTCCGACGACGACAAAACATTGAGTCAAGGAAGCAGTAGCATTTAAGGTAGAGCAGTAGCGGCGGTAGGCGAACTGGTTTATGTCTCGTATTGTCAAATCGCTGGACAGTTCCTGGAGTAATAACTTCTCAAACACCTTTAATGAGATGGAGGTACAGGCAATCGAACGGAATTTTGCCGTTCCTTTCTTGGGCATAGTTGTAATGGACACTGATCTCCAACAGTCGGGAATTTTCTTGCAATAAAAACATTGATTAAATAATTGTGTCATGACTGGCGTGAGTATTTGTGCACATTGCTTTAGTACAACTGCGGGAAGATAATCGGGTCCGTGGGATTTGTCGCACTTGAGGTTTGACAGCTCTTTGTAAACAGCTTGAGGGGATACGTTGAGGGAGGTGGGGCTGGTACTAGTGGACATGTAAATAGTTGTCATTATCGATGACCCGTTCCTCCGAGGCTACACAGAATGGCATCAAATCTCCAGCTTATCCGATTGTGAAACATTTAGTTGCATCAAATCAAGAAGTTCACCTGACCCAATATTTCGGAGTGATGGCGTGCAATTCAATACCAAAGTCTTTGGCGTTCAAAGAAGTGATTTTTGCGACGACGGCCTTTTCCATTTGACGGACCGTTATTCATCTTCCAACCACCATCTACACCGCCGAACACTGAGCGCTGAATTTTCCTATTCTGGTAGATGCGCAACACATATGCCAACCCCTTCGCCTTAGTGTTCCATCTCACTATCTGGCTCGTGTACCTAATACGAAGTAGTGCCAAAATTCCAATGAAAAAAATATTTTCTTCGTACTGAGTTTTTCGTTCCTAATATCGTATGTGCACTGGCCTGATGAGAATAATCGAAAGGACAGGTCTGCGCTTGCCACATACCGACGGTTTCAAAGTTGCGAACCCATACAGCAGAAACAAAATATGGTACGGTGTCTTATCTGTAAAGTACATCAGGTGTTCTGGAAACAGACTGTCAGAAGCAATAGAAGCTGCTCCCAATTTACTGTCAGAAAACGAGCTTACAGAGGACTTTCTCCAATTACATATGGGCCCCGGGTTCAGATAATCAAACGGTTCGAATTAGCTAATAGCGATAAGCACCTCGGGAGCTCAACTGCAGCTGGAGGTGGCGCTGGAGTGATCCGTTCATGCATAACGAAAGCTAGACTGATTTTCGTGAACCTGAGTCAATTGTGGCGCCGCCACGACATCCGTCTCTCATTGAAGAGACGAGTCTACAATCTTACAGAACGCCGTGTTTTACTCTACGGTTGCAAACCCCAGCCGCTCCGCGTTGAAGACATTCAATAACTTTCTGTACTCGACCACCGATGTCTCCGCAGCATTCTTCGGGTTTTCTGGGAACACCGTGTGAGAAACAAAGAGGTTTGTCATCGCGTACTGGGGCGCGAATAGCCGCCCCCTGACAGAAATAATCACTCTACATCCCCTTCGGTAGCTTGTGCACATTTTACGCATGCCCACCCATCGTCTACCATTCCGTGTGCTATTTGCGCTTCCTGGATATGGCTGGATGAAGGGACGTGGCAATCAGACCTAGAGCTACCGTAAGGGTACGAAAAAGTTGAACACCAGTTGGCGCGTCCGGACCCCCTGGTTGGGGCTCAAGGGATGGGGATAGTCGATGGTTAAATACGTTGATACATTCGATTCAGAACCGAAGTCTGTGGTCCAAATGTTGTGCGGACCTCATAATATTGAATAAAACCTAAAAATGCGTGCGGCGAAACAGCTCAAAAAACCGCCTTCACTCGTTTTTCAGTCCACATTACCCCTTTTCGTATCCGTTTGGTTGGCATCATGTCAGACTTCAGGCTCAGTGTAATATACTAATGATGATAATAGATACCCGTGTCCCGAAAAGCCCGTTTACGTAAACATGGAATTTAAAGGAGTTGTAGCATCCGAAACTTTCAACCGTACCGTGTCTTAGGATCTCGTTTAAAACAAGTCCGTAATTGCGACTAAGACGTAAAAACAGATTATTCGGTCATTCGAGCTCATTTTGCGTGTACTCGTATTCCTGTTTCCGTGAAGTGGAATACACGGGAAGGGCAACTATGCGTTTGTGTGAGCAAGTTCAAGAGCACTGCCCTAGTTGGCTGCTGAAAGGAATCAACAAAACCTAACTAGTAACATCGTGGTCCATGCGACTGATACGAGGCACATGGTGAAACAGGAGCGTTTGAGGTCATCTGTCGAGTGTCAAAAGTCGCTTCAAATGGGGTCAGACAACGAATCCTATCCACAACCGAAGTGACTGTGATCATGTTAAACCGACCAATCGTGTTCGCAAAAATAGTTTGTCAGGGCACTGTTTCTTTCGTGACCAAAGATCAACGAGATGGTGAGACAGACGCACAGCGCCGGCGAAACCGGTGATGGGATTGTCCACACGAACTCAAAATCGTAAGACTGACAGTTGCTATTGTGAATTTCTGTAAACATTGTGGTTCATTTATTAACTTTAGCAAGATAATGGAAAATCCGCTTGCGTTTTCCACAGCCAAACGTTCAACGCCGCGAGCTGGAATCGACCTTCTGTTTACTGGGCAGATGCTCTGTCAGTTGAGCTACCGCGGTACAGCGCATCACTACACCCGACTGGCCGTACTGTTACAGCTCGGCTGGTAGAGCATCTGCCTGGTAAGTGAAGGGTCACCGGTTCACGGCGCTGAGCTTTCAGATATGAAAAATATAAGTGCATTTTTCGTTATCGAAGATATAGGGCCTTCGTGACAATAATACATTCTGTGAATAACTTTACTAGCTTTACAAAATCCCGTGAGTGTAGTGGCACGATGAGAACTACCAAAATGAAAGATCTGCGTTCGCTACACACCGTATGCTAAAAAAAGTGTTTCAATCGCTTCAGAAATTATTCATCAAAAAAATGAGCTAAGCAACGTATCTTGATTTTTCATGCAATGATTGTAAGAATTTGAAGGGAATTTGACAGCAGAATTTTTTCGGAAAATAATGTCACGAATGAACTAATGAGACCCGGTTTTCCAGCTACCAGAGTCAAGATTACCAAGAGTGTCATTTGGATATAAGTGAAGGAAGCCTGTCGATGTATTTGCTGAGCTTTGGCTCATGTCCTTACAGACTGGTTATGCGCAGTGCTTGTCGGGAGAGTGCCGCTCCAGCGTGTTTCACATCCACAAGGTAGACTGATCCATCAAGAATACTGACGGCACTGAGGCACCGAGGAACTGATCACTTGAGACAGACAGACAAGGAATTATGTCATCGGACTGATGATGTAATCACTGTTCACACAAACAGATCAAACCAAGCGATCGACGTAGGCGAGCTTTTTTACACACTCAAAAGAAAACTGACGAAACAGATCGGGGGTGAAAATACACGGTTCGCTCAAAGAGGCGATTATGACTGCTTGAACAATGATTGTTGTTATGATATGCTAAAAAACCTTTAACCTTGCAAATCCTTATTATAGCTCGGTTGTATATTCGATGAAGAACTATTAGCAAGCAGCCCACTCGCTCGTTCTACTGACGCTAGTAATGCTTCTAATAGAAATTACGAAAACTTAATTGTATCATATGCTCAGAATTGAAGGCGGAAGGAATGAGGTCAGTGCACAGGTCATATCAAAAGGTCACACCCGACGCCTCAGTGGTCAGTGCTAAGGCACTGCTACCACCAAAGGGCTTCCTTAGTGCCCAAAACCTGGACTTTGTTTATTACTGGGAGGTGCAGATCTGCAACAGACAAGTTAATGTTCCCCTCTCGGCTGACCGGCTTCGAGACGCGGTGTTTTGGGTCGTCATCGATTTAATGTTGACATCAGTTCGATCCGAAGGTAATGAAAGCTCGAAATCAACACGTGGTTAACCATCTGGCCTCGGTGTGGTGCTTGCGATTCGCGTTTAGAATAGTAGTAGGTATGAGAATGAAAACTGAGCACAAAGCAAGTAGATTTGATTATCAAAATGGTCCATTATTCATCTTAGTTAGCGGACGGACTCAGATTGCTAAAGCATGACGTCACCCCATGAAGGTTAGTAACGATTGTGACAACAAACTTGCATTGACAGTAGCTGTTTTGGTCAATGATGACAGTGAAGGCGGTTGCCGTGGTGGTGACAACTGTGGTAATAATAGCAAAACTTACTGTCCAGTTTGGTACCCAGTTGAGAGGCGAATGGACGCGGACGCGTAATGAAACGGCTAGAAAAAAAGGCAGGGTGAATCAGATGGGAAGCATGAAATAGAGAGAATGAATGAAGTGGAGGAGGAGTGAGAACAAATTGAAACACGAAAATCAAAATGTTTGCCAGCTGTTTATCGTATACACGACTAAAATGCGTCTGGCGACCGATAGGTCGGACATACTCCGATAAAGAATAAACGAAATTCATGTCGCCAACGTACCTCAGGAGGGTGACACTAATTGCAAAGTCGGTATTCAGTATCTAACCATGAGGGAACTTGTGGTCTATACAAATTACGGTGTTTACCAATCAATAGTTCTCAGGCGAAGTGAAACAGTTGACAACTAATGACAAAAAGATGGCGACAAGAGTACACAAACGGTAGCGTGTAACGGTATACATACCATGAATGTGGTCTTTTAGAAACACGCATGGGTCGGACACAATGAAGCGAACACACTTGTCGCCTATACGGAATAAACCAACTAGGAATATATCATCATCATCCGAATTCCAGTAAATGATCACAGGAATAGTGCTGGTCTGAAATGCGCGAGGTTGTCTCGAACAGCACCAAGTGGGGATAAACAAGAGATAGCTTGAAATTCATTAGTATTTTAAGCTTGAAATGGTTTTGTAAATAACCGACCGGTTCAATGAATTTTCAATAAGTATCAGTATCACGTGGTATTGTCAAAATGAATGTGACAGTGTGATGGAACTCATTCCAGATCACTCTGGATGCGGGGTACTTGTATCATCTACAAAACGTCTGTGTGGAAACAATCCCGTTGACCAACAGAATCCAGTAATTTTCGGGTTGAAAACCGTAATCAGAGCGTTTGAAATAATCGAATCACTTAATTTAGAAGTTTCACTTATTTTCCAAACCATCAACTTCACAACTGAGCGGTGCATTTAAGACTGCGTTGTCCCAGTAGAACCAACCTGGAAAAGAATGAGAATGAACCGCTGGCTGAGAAATTTGACCATTTACCCAAGTTTCTCCAATCGTCAGAAGGTGGACCAGATGGACTCAATCTAGAGAATCTAATACATCTCACACGATACATTCTGCTGTCTGTGGTTTGTACACCACTTTGTCAAGTCTCCTTGGCCTATTATTCTGCTTACTTGTCGCTCAAGCGACGATACTCAACCAGAGGGTCTATTTCTGAACATGCGAAACACATCAATCAACCAATGTGACCTGTTCAAGTTCAACAGTTGGATCGAAACACTTCGAGGTCGGTTTTAGCAAGATCTAATTGATTTAACTGTCGAAAATGCATCCACGGGTGCTCAAACACACACAGCATTCGTAGGCTACATATCGAAATAAGAGTCAAAGCCATTTGTGATACTCCAGACGAGCGGGTGGATATCAACCACATCAATGATAGTACTGTAAAATATGAACAGCTCCTCAAATAGTATATATCACTGTTTATATTGTAATAAGATTCGATATTAGATCAGTCAACTGTGTCCAGTCGGTTGTGAGGCTCGGAGCCAGATGATAATGATGTTATCTACCGACGAAAAGCCGTGGTGTGAATAGAGCAAGATAAAAATGATCACATGATCGCACCTAGTTTGGTATCATGGATCAAAACACCGCCCACTAGTGCAAAGCCAAAACGAAACGCGTGAAACGAATCCAGACAACTGACTGAATTTGAGTTGAGAAGAAAGAGAGTAGTCGGAACTTAGTATTTTATTTCCAAAGTTCATTAAAAGACCGGCACTCGACTACCTCGAGAAAATCAGAACACGCGGGAAGACTGCAAGATGATCAAAAGGACCGGTTATCGCAAATCTGGCGCAGCCACTGAACCAGGAATACTAACGGTAGAGGTCGAATGGTTACTTGAAATACACCGATTGGTTAACAACACATTTTCATTTCACCACAGAGTAAGTTTCCTAGCACATTAAGTTCTAGAAGTTGGATGGGCATTAGAATATGTAAAATACTAGTCAGTAGACAGCTGAGTAGTAGTTGGGTTAAAAAAGTGGGAAATGCGTCGTATGTTTGAAAAAAACAACGAATTCGTCGTCACATCGATATTTACCCAGCAGACTGTACTGCATGATCACTTACGATCCTCCAAACAGCTATTGTTTATCGCTTCCAATTTGGGTATCGTTGAGATAGCAACAAAAAATGAATGAAAACAGCATACGGAGAGGTCATCTTCGCCGGGATGCGTAAGATCCCGTAATCCACCGGATTAAATACTCAAAGATGCAATGACGAACTGTGTTAATAATGCTGAGCATATTGTCGTTCATCCGATCAGATTGTGTAAATAATATACAATGGTTTCTTTATACAGTGTTCTAACCTACTACGGATAAAATAATAAGCTGTTTACATTTATTTTTCATTTGTATAAACGAAGAATGAGAGTTCACTAGGCTGTCTATCGCTTACAGTACGATGATAGTGACGATAAATGTAGCACGAACGAAGCAACGATCCAGGTGAATAGATGCACGAAACGAACAAATGAATATGGGGTAATTTAAATCCAGACCAGACATACGCAGTGGAGGCCGCAGTAACTGCGCTCACGGCTACATTGGCCCCAGTGGCCACGGATAATGTAGAGGCCACATGCGACCCCATTGCTGAAACACGTTCCAGGTCGTCTGATTCCGTTTCCTGGGTTAAAAGTAATTCCGGGCGGAATTTAGATCCATCCGCCAAGGCCCGCAGCGCGGCCGCAGACCACGACGGTGTTGGGATAGATGTGAATCGTGGCCGCGACTGCGGTTGACTCCGAGAATCTAGTGCCACATCGGATGGTCGATCGGATGATGGTCCAGGTTCTTCGGCTGTTTCCAGATCCGTATCCGAAGGTGGTGGAGGAAGATCGGCGGCTGCATTTAATAATTCTGAGACCAGAGGCTGTACATCACCTGTGCGCAGAAACCGAGAAATTTTTAATCGCCTACTGTTACTTCTATGAAAGACGGAAATTAAGGCTAGCCTTGATCTCATTGAATGACGCCTTAGAAACGAAAACCTGTGATTTTTTAACCTCGTCCACTTAACATTGCTGCGGAACGCAAAAGCTCACACCAACACGGTGTTTACTTCCCGAGAAAATACGAAGCAAACCGTTTCCCTTCATTTACTCGATTTTGGTGAAACATTTTTCATATCACGAACCTTTTCTAATTCAGCCCCGGAAACGAAACACTCGTATCGGTCACGAGAGGAAATCTATCAAGACAATAAAGAAACTTCTCGTCAGTTTAAGTAGACCAATCACATGGGATTGAATTGCTGGTTTCTCAAACTCAGGCCTCAAAGCCGGCTCGCGCTATGTTTGCCCACCGAAAGCCTTCGTCGGCCCTCTAAGTTAACTGATGTTTCGTGTAGTGTGACAACAGCAGCCACGGCTGACTGAGTTTAAGTGCGGCTTTATCTAGCAATACAAGGTGTGTTAATAGTAGTAGCAGTGGCAGTAGTAGTGTGATGCAGCGTGCGTGCTACTTACTGAAGCAGTAAGAAGCCAACTGCTCAAAAACTCAATTATGGACAATTGTGGATCGATAATGAACGCGACGACGTCAGAGGGACCGAACGCGATAAAGCAAAAGAACCACACGATTGCACCCTCCGACTGGATAACGACTGTTCTCTAGTGGACTGGAGAGATGTTATGCAAACAGGCATTCTCGTTACGTTTGATTTTGACGATGTCCGACCAAGTGGTCTTCAATCAACAACTTATTTACCAGGCACGTGTTCTGTATTACAACAAAAGTGGTAGTAGTAGTGGTAGCAGTGGAGGTATTAGTAGTAGAAGTAGTAGTAACAGTGAACTAGCACATATTTTAGCTGAGGCAAAACTGACACAAAAAGTGAAAAAATGACAATGGGTTCATTCACCGATTGGAAGAAGAAGTATATGATGGCATGTAGCTTTATCATGTGGAAATGTTCATTATTCACTGATGGGTATAAACTTATTCACACACTGATGAACGTGTTGGTCCAGTACAATCGCATTAGTTTCCGAACCTTATCGTCAAAACTGTCACATCCACCACGAGGCTTCAGTTCAAGAGATGGTTTCGTTTACTTCATTCCATCATTAAGCACGGACTTAAGTGCTCCGGTTTTGATCGCTACTTCGAAGTACCACCCAGTCAGATGTGAAATAAATAAATGAAGTACAAAGAAGGAGGAGGCAGATACGAAGGAGGCCCTGTTAACGAGAACTTTGCCTGAAAGTACGCGAATGATCGCGTAAATTGGTCATGTCACTCATCATCTACAACCACTCGGTAGGCGGGTCTTGCGGGCTTCAAACAAGAAGTCCAATACGGCCAGTCCCATCAGTTAAAATTTCTGCACGTTTTCCGCATGTCAAGCGCTAACCACCCTGACGTTATATTCGATTACTATGTCTCGAACAGGGATTTGAACTCGGCAGGTGATCTCTGGGTCCCAGCATCAAGCGGTCAATCTCAGTACTACTGATATGATGTTCGCACCACATTCCAACGACGCTGTGAATAAATCGATGCTCAAACAGCGAAATTCTGTTTCTTCTGACCATAACAGTCACGTTTCCGCGTCATGCAGGAAGACGAGTGAACGAGCGGTCGGCTGACACGCACATGTACACACACACAAATACATACACACCCGCGTACGCACACATAACACATGGCTATTCACAAAGTCGCAATCACTCACATTGTACCGATTTCCTTTCATCCCGTTAAGCATGCGCCTCCAAATGCCTCAGTATGGTCGTGCGTGGGTGTCTCAGGCTCCTCAGGCTACTCGCCCTGAACGCCCGTCGAAATGCTCACCAATGACCAACCGACTGTCACAGCCTCTGCTGAGGAAGCCGTACTCACTGCCTTCTCATTTTCACAGAAATGAAAGGACGAATGCGAATACCCGGCACACTCCACCGGGTTGACTGATTACAACCCAAGCGAGGGTGGCGTATGAGGCGTACAACACTGCCTAACGGCATCTGTGGCGGAGGGGTGAACTGGGCACCCAAGATATCTAGCCTCATCCGAAGGGTGTATGAACTGAACAGTTAATCACCGGCCCCCAGTGGGTAACGAACCCCACGCCTCGTCCAGCTGCCTTGCGGGTTAAGCTTTGGATAGCTAAAGGCTCCGGCTGTGGACCCCTGAGAAAACCACTTGATTTGGCCTGGGCAACCCGGCAGTACTGCGCCCACAAACAAAACAAATCACGGAATCTCACACCATGTACCCCTTCTTTACCAGTTGTACTGTTCTGTTTGGCACACAGCCTGGAGTCGGGTGAGTGTGAAACATAAGTTAATGATAATGTATATGTTAGGCGTGCCTGTCAGTCGTGTTCATGTTTATTCACAAAACTACCCACTCAGCGACAGGTTGTTCTGTGTCTCCTAACGGTTGGTTCATAACAGATATTATTGGATTAATCTGAAATCAAAATTTTGCAGCAACAGCAAAAGTCAATTTCAGACCAACAACTGCAACAGATAAACATGATAGAAATATTGACATCACATTTCGCTCCTAGTAATGCCATATACAATGATCAGCCGTCTCTAACGAAACTGAAAGAACCACTCACTGCCAGCATTCAGGAATTCATTTACGCCGCAGAAAACGGTGTTACCGTCACTTCATGGCACAGACGACGCAAAGATGTTTTTCTGGTTGTTATACATTCTTGGATGACCAATCGAAAGTGAGTTTTTTATGCAGAAGCTGTGACCTGCAAAACACACTCAGTATTGCAATCACATTCTGATGCAGCATGCTCGGGATTTTTCTCTATAGGAAACAATGCCTAAGCTGACCTAAATCACTGGCGAACGATCGCCAGTGTTCAACATACGACAGAACTGTCTCAAAATAGCAAGAAACCCAACCGAAGAAAAATCCTCATAAGCTGGTCAAATCAACAAAGAATATGAACGAATAAAACTTAAAAAAATCACAGATGATCAATTGAAATCACTATTTTCGTCGCTGGCTTGACGTCTTCAGATAATTTCGAACCTCGTACAACGCTGCTGACAAAGCTGGATTCTTCAGAAACAATCAACGCAAGACCTGACGGCTGAATATATCAGACCCACGAATTTAAAACAGGATTCCACAGTGATCCAGCACACATCACCGTCTGCTGGCAAAGCTATTATAGAAAAAATAACTCGAAAAACAATCTCACGATCGCGCAAGACACGTGCAACGACATCATTCCAACGCCCGTCCTTTATCTGCTGAAGCTGTGGGGAAGGACATTTGTTTCGGCTTTGTTGTTCAGTACCGGTTCAAGTCAGGAATGTGGATGTATGGGGTACAGACAAGGATTTTGTGGGAGCTCACAAAATAGAGCACCTGTGAGTAATTTCAGTGCATTTCGTCTCATTGGACACCTATCGAATGCCGTATTCGCAGCCACGAGTCCTTCACTCAGCCAAATGAGGAAATACGTAACACTAACCGTGATTGGTAATCCAGTAACTCTGTAGTTGGGCACGGCATCATGCATAACAATCATTTCGCGCTCAACTTCGACTGCTCTTGGCAAGCATCCACACCATGCCACGCACCATGTTGCTCGAAATGCAGCTGGACGACAAATACCACTCTTGAGAGAATGTGCGTTCCATTTTCGTGACCACTATGATGATGACATTTGTTATGTCTATCACTGATAATTTAAGTCTCCTCGATATTGATTGGATGAATAAACTCGTTGTGGGATGTACCTTTCAGTTCGTTTTGTGATGCAAATATTCCGACTTCACCGTCACGCTCACATTCATTTGGTGCAAGTGACGGTGCAAACATTACTAACACCAGCGATTGACAATATTCAGAAGTAGCACGCCGAAATATTTCAACCAGGCTCAGGGTTTTGCGCTAAGGCTAAAGCCATCCTTTAACTTAAACCTGGTACTAAACCAGCTTTTCGTCCAAAACCACCTGTTTGAAGTCGGTTGGCAAAGAACTCGAAAGAGTGCAGACAGCAGGAGTGCTTATTACAAGTAAGTTATTCCGCTTGGGCCGCCCCAACTGTGACAGTTAAAAAAGTAGGTGGTTTGGTTCGAAAATGTGCAGATTTCTTCACCGGACTAACTGATCACCTGGAAACACATCAGTATCCACTACCAATCCCAAAGGATTTGTTTTCCGAACTAAACTGAGTCCAAATATTCTCCAAGACTGATTTGTGTGATGACCACCTTTAGGTTGCAGCGGATAATGCGTGCAGAGTTGTTGACTATCAGTACCGATTGCCATCTGTATCAATACAATGGATTGCCATTCGGGGTAAAGTGGGTTGTGGCTATATTCCAGCAGATCATTGATACAATGCTGGCTGATCTTCTATACATACAGTTTCTCGATTTTATCACTGATAAAAACGGACAACCCCAGACCCCTCTAAGGTGGCGCCTATTAGTAGAATGCCTGCACTCGAAAATAAAATGTAATAGCAATCCCTCCTTGGTTTTGTGAACTATTACAATAGTTTCACTCTAAACGTGCACAAGGGGTGTATGGGGTGTCTGAGAGGAGTAGCACCTCTGAGTTGGTTGCCTGTCATGTCCCTTGGGGCATCCTCAATCTCCATCGTTCACCCAGCTCTCACCTGTGGCTCCACGAAGTTGAAGCAGGCATCAGCGGCCACACACCGGCAAACCACTCGACCGGCGGGCTTAACCAGGTTGAGGGTTGCCGAAGTCTAGAAAACTTCGGCAAGACGGTGTTCGGCATGTGAAGACAGATTCTTCTGAATGGGCAGACCAGATCTACTGATCCAACGGCTACAAAGAAGAACCGTTCAACTACCTGATCCGGCATTCCAGAGGAGGCGAACGAACCGTACAGCAGGCCATCGGCTCTTCTGGAAGCATCCTGCTGCCTTGCAGTCT